ATAAATAATTTTAAAATTGTATTATAATTTAAGTTTAAATTTAAATCATTTAATTTTTTGTTATTATATTTAATTTATTTTATTATAATTTAAGTTATTAAATTCAATAATTTAAGTTATTAAATTCAATAATTTAAGTTATTAAATTCAATAATTTAAGTTATTAAATTCAATAATTTAAGTTATTAAATTCAATAATTTAAGTTATTAAATTCAATAATTTAAGTTATTAAATTCAATAATTTAAGTTATTAAATTCAATAATTTAAGTTATTAAATTCAATAATTTAAGTTATTAAATTCAATAATTTAAGTTATTAAATTCAATAATTTAAGTTATTTTTTTAAATATAAAATATTTAATTTGACAATAAGTTATTAAAATAAAACTTAAATTTTGAATTTTCGTTGGAAATCCGCCGGAAATTCCGCCGGAAATTCATACGAAAAAAATCCGTCGGAAAGAGAATCGAGAAATATGTCGGAAATTCGGTGAAAATTTTCCGTCGGAAAATCGCCGGAAAATCCGTCGGAATTTGTGACGAATTTATTTCCGCCGGAAATTCCGCCGGTAATCGCGTGTTTTCCCGTAGTGTGTGGTGAAAGATCTTTGAGACTATCATAATCGTTTCTTAATCAAAATATTCTGATTTCTTTTAAAAGTGTAAGATAATGATTTTGGCTTCCTTTGAGATAATTTTTTATCACCATTTCTTATTATTTAAAAATAAAGTACTAAAACGCTGCGGTAGAAAGCAGTAATAACACAATCTCAAACAAAGCTTATGATAAAACAAGTTAGTGTATATAACAAATTGCACATGATAACCTTAATGTTTCGTTTGGGACGGCTTTCTTGTTGCTTTTTAAAACAACTTTCTAATACAAAAATTTTCTTTTAAGAGGCAGTAAGAAAGCAGTCCCAAACGAGGCCTAATGCTTAGTCTGAGTTGATTTTCTTATTATTTTCTAAAATAATTATCGAGTACAATTTCTAGCGTAGTAGAAAGCTACTTTAAAAAGCAATAAGAAAGTCATCTCTAACAAAGCCAAAGTCAATCTAGTTAGCTAAATGAGGTGCAAT